CTTATTAGGCTACATTGGATCCCTAGAAAAGTACTTAGTTTCACATGATCATAAGGAAATCAAACCTCAAAATCTTGAAAACCATGAAGTACAAGAAGAAGAAGATGAAACCCTAGGTAAGATTTCCTCTCCTTGCCTCTTCCTAATTATATTTTATATTATAAACCCTAAAATATTTCTAAGGACATCTATTTATAATATTAAAGTCATGAGGGTATTACGGTAAAAACTTATACTTCAATTAAAAACACATAATAACAAATCTGCACATCTCCAAGCACTAATGTAACTTTCGTTGCCATTTTTAACCATCTTTCAGGTCAAACTAGGCCACGATAAAAACATAAAATATGTAGCTTTGTCTCTTAGCTTTAGAACGCACTAGAACCAGGTCAATCTAAGTTGTGTAGCTGAAGTTATGATCATTTTCGTGCAACATGTTCTGGCAAAAAAAATTCCAAACACAAATTTCTTGCATTGCGTCGCGGCATGATTTTGTGGCGCTGCGGCATGAAGTTTCTGTCCATTTTACAACTTTTTTATGGTGCGGTGTGGGAATAGTTTTTTTGCAACGAACAATCTTCAAAAATCCATAACTTCTTCATTGGAACTCTGATTCTCGAACCGTTTGTTCACATGATTTTGTTTCTTTAATCTTCAATGTGCATACTTGAAATCCTCATTTTTGAAAGCATAAATACCTGAAAATTCACAAAACATACCCATGATTCTAGAAAGTAAAAGAGATACAGAAATTAAGTAAAATTAACCAATTAAACCAAATTCCCACACAAAATACCCTTAAAATCACTAAGTATAAGTGTAATTCCAAGCACTCATCATATTACCTTACAAATTGAAGAAAAAAGGGGCTTGTCGGCTTGATAAGTGGGAGAAAACTGCATTTGTGTGGATAAAGAATTATAAATTTAGGAAAAAAATTTAAACCTAGGTTGTTGAATCAGTTATGGGCAATAGAGAAAGAACAAGTTTGGAAAGAAGAGAAAGAGGGGTTTAGATTTGACAGCCCAAAAAGAAAAATAAGAGTTTAACTTATTTGATGGATTGGATTTTTTTGTAATGTACTTTTCATTTAGGGGCAAATTTGTGTTACAAATAAGTAATTATATACCCACTTAACTCGATTAGCTAATTGTGTCACTAAACAAATGTGGGAGTTGGACGATCCTTTACTCCAACAATACATGATTATCTTTTATTTTATTTTTTTATCACTAGGGGTGTCCAAGCTATCTTGTGCGCACCTTAACTAATCCCTCGAGACCTTAAAAGTCTGACCGGGTAATCCTCCAGTGGCCACCCCTATTAGGGTTTGGAGGGACTCAAACTCAGAAAATTTGGGAAGCTCCTTTTATTCTTTTACCATTAGGCCACCCAGTGACGGTTTCATGATTATTAACCCCACTCAACACACTCAACAATCTGCGTAGAGATCGAAGTCTAAGACAAAAATGTGTTTGGTACACTTTTTAAAATAGTATTTGTGAAAAAGTGAGTTTAGCAGTATTTAATAGAATAGGGTTTGAATTTGAAAATGTGTTTGGTAAATTATTTGAATATTATACTATAGTTGAATAAATTGGTGAATAATTTTTTGATATATTTTTTGAAAAAGATTTTAAGATAGAACATTTTGGTGCATTTTATTATTTAATTCTGAAACTTTTCAATTTACATTTAAATACTATTAAAGAGTTGTTTGGTAATTTTTTTATCACTAAATTAAAAGCTAATTATCTAGGATCATTTCAGCTACTAATACATCATTTAAAAACAAAACATTAATGCATATCCAAATTAATAATACGAAACTATTAATAATCAACCCTTAAGATTTTTTGTACACCTATATTCCATTAACAATTACAACATGGATTCATGTCGTAGCCACATAGCATTAGTTATGTCATTTCTCAGAGTTGATAGAGAGAATAGATAAAAGTAATGAGAGAGCAGATAAAATAAATTAAAAAATGTTAGTTTTAAATAAAATAAAATAAATTTAAATTTAATTGATTTTGAGACTTAAAAGAACAGGAGTTTAAGTGGGGCTTAAATACCATATCATTTATGTTAGTTCTGTCACACAGAGAGAGAGAGAGAGAGAGAGAGAGAGAGAGATAAAAGTCATGCGAGAGACAACAGTCAAAAAGTCGAATGAGATTTTGAAAGTTAGTTTGTTTGAATATTAAATAAATACTCATTTTTTAGTAATGCTACAGTTACTGATAGGTGTGCACCGAATTTATATACCGAATGACATGATAAAATCCTGACCATTGATTTATTATCAATTAATATTAATCAACGGTCAAGATTTTATCACGTCATTCGATACATAAATTCGGTGTAAACTTTTCGATAACTCTATTATTTTCCCTCATTTTTATTGTTTTGATAGATAGAATAGTGGAATAGGCTTTGAAAAGGTAAAACAAACGCAGTCCGATTGCGCATATTAATGACTTGCATTGCACCAGAGTATTCCAAACTCACTACTTATGTCTATCTAAAGATGAAACTAATGTCATTCGGAGAGTATGAAACAAGGAAAAGTGTACACCTATGGAAACATTTAATTTTCTGGAAGAAAGCCAACCCACGAAATTTGACTTGAACGCTTGGGAGATGGTTGAATCAATAAAGGAAACAATATCTTTGAGTTGAGTTGACCTTAGATTTGCTTGAAGATCATATGAATGCATACTAAACAAGAACTGAATATGTAAGAGATAGGAAGATGATCACATATTCAACATTTTTCTATTATTTAATCATCAAGTTGAAGCAGCCCTGTAATAAACTGAAACACCATACAAGTTGCCAATACTATATTGAAAATTTGCTACCCATTGCTGCCTCTCTTTTCCTTTCTATATTCTTAAAGATAAAGGAGATAGATTGGCAAATGAAGACCAATTATTTAGAACACAGTGGCAATTCAAAGTAGGTTAATTTTTTAATATTTTTACTATAAGACCTGTGAGTTTCGAGAAACGTAACATAAAACGTGAGATAATCTCTCACGTGGGAAATAATTAACATACTTTAAATGATTTCGGATTTTATCATATTCATATATACTATAAAAAGCCAACTTTGCTTGGTTTGAACAATGACATATTGTTTGAAAACAAATATTTAATAACCCATGCAGAACTCGGTAATGTATACCAACCCTGTTAAAATGAACAAAAAAAGGGAAATGCAGCCAATTAATATAAAAATACTAAACATACCCATCAACTATATCGGAAAGTATCTCGTGGAGGTCGATTTTTCAAAATAGGGAACAAAATATTCATGTCTAGAGCCCACCAGATTTATTTGTTTAATAAACCATATAATCATTCATGCCTTTATTTCACTCCTTTATTGGTGCTTATGTCTCAGACTCATCCTTGATCAGAATCCCATATCTTAACTTACAATAATGGATCTGCATTGTTTTCTCATCAATTTTGTATCATCGTTGGTTCTGTATTGTGCAATGAGTTGCTTAGCTATTGAAGCAACTAACACTACCACAGATCAGTCTTCTCTTCTTGCCTTGGAAGCTCGAATCACCGATGACCCTCACAATTTCTTGGCAAACAACTGGTCTGCTGCTACGTCTGTTTGCCACTGGATAGGGATCACTTGTGATGTCAACAATAGAGTCACAGTCTTGAATCTTACCTCAATGGCTCTTACAGGAACCATTCCGCCACACATAGGAAATTTGTCATCCCTTGTTCAGATAAGCTTCAGCAACAATAGTTTCCATGGCTCTCTGCCTATGGAGCTGGTTAATCTACGAAGCTTGGAACTCATGAATTTTGAAGATAACAACTTAGAGGGAGAGATGCCATCTTGGTTCGACTCTTTGCCTAAACTTCAACACCTGTATCTCTCGGATAACGATTTTACCGGTCCTATCCCACCTTCCATATGCAACATCTCAACATTAAGGACTTTAGATTTCATGAACAATGATCTACATGGATACATTCCAAACGAGATTGGTAATTTGGTTAACCTGGACAGATTCATCCTCTATGGTAACCCCCTGATTTCAGGGCCCATACCATCAGCCATGTTCAACATCTCTTCCTTGAAAAACATCAATTTTGCCATGAATAGAATGTCTGGCAGCCTCCCTGACAATATGTGTCAAAACCTTCCTGTTCTCAAATATCTGATTCTTCATCACAATCAATTTGTTAGTTCAATTCCATCCAGTTAATGGCAATGTAAAGAGCTTGTACGTATATCTCTAGATAACAATAGATTCACAGGAACCATACCAAGAAGAATAGGAAAGCTGAACCTGCTGAAGGAGCTCTACCTTGACAACAACAATTTGGAAGGTAATACTTCATCTTTTTGGTTCAAATATTACTGTTAGTAGATCTAAATATTTAACTTTTGGTCTTTGTTTAATTATTTAACATATTAGTATAATTAAAACTCTTGTATTTAAATTCCTCACATACCACCTTAAAATCACAATTGACACTCCTTGAAATGTCTCTAAAATTTAAACAGAGCTAGTGTCCAACTTGATTGTCCACTGACCTTCCTAATCCACTAACCTAAAGTATAACACTACAATTTATAGTACAATGTTATTAAAAGCTGTTTAAATTCTGACTTCAAGGTGAAGAGTTGATGTTGTATGATGAGTAGAATTCTGATAAAAGTCTATGTGCAGGTGAAATACCAGAAGAACTAGGTTCTCTTAAGGCTTTGGAGAGACTAAGAACTGGTATCAATCACCGCATTACAGGTTCAACTTCCATTCTCAGATAATCAAACCATTCCCTTTTGCAAAGGAATCAATCTCCTTAAGAATAGTTTCTATGATCTTCCACTGGGTAGCGCGCTTCTAATACCTGAAATACTTTGCCTTGTAATAAATTTGCAAGATCTATTCCAAGAATTCTAGCCAACTGTACATCGCTGTGGGAACTAGAGCTAGGTGGTAGCAGCTTGACTGAATGACTGGTATGTTTATACACATTTTAGTCAACAATGTTATTTATTTTAACAATATGAGAATTTTATAACGTCTGCACTAAAGATTGACTATTTAAATAGTTGTATAACATATCATAACATTTAGTTTAAATTAATATATATATTGAAGCTAGAGACTTAGCCATTTGTTCTTTACACTGACAGGTCCAATCCCACCTGAGCTTGGTGATCTTCCTAATCTTGTGATTTTAAATCTGTACAATAACAGCTTGACTGGCCCCATCCCATCTACAATCTTCAATATCTCAACATTAGAATTCCTTGCACCATACATGAACCAGCTCTCGGGCCATCTTCCATCTGATATAGGCCTCTGGCTTCCAAATCTTAGGAAACTTTACCTATGGGATAATCAACTCCAAGGCATAATCCCCAACTCTATCTCCAATGCTTCTAACCTTGACCTCCTGGCGTTATCCCTAAACTCATTCTCTGGCCCTATTCCCACTACACTTGGTAATTTGAGAAATCTAGAACGGATCGACCTAGCCTCTAACCAGTTGACAAGAGAATCTTTCACTACAGAACTAAGCTTTCTCTCACCCTTGTCAAATTGTAAGCATTTGAGAAGAATAGTTATATCTGATAATCCATTGAATGGCACCCTTCCAGCTTCCATTGGAAACCTCACCAGTTTCGCAATCTTTAAAGCAGATAATTGTCAGATTAAGGGAAGCATTTCCCAAGAAGTCAGCAAGTTAAGCAACTTGACAACCTTTAGCCTTGGAAACAATGAATTGATTGGATCAATTCCATCTGCAGTTGGAAAAATGAGAATGCTCCAAGTTCTAAATCTTGAAGGCAATAGATTGCAAGGCTTCATTCCAGAAGAAATTTGTCAGTTACGGAACGTAGGTGACCTATATTTGAGTGATAACAAGCTTTATGGATCAATACCATCCTGCTTAGGTGATATTATTTCACTAAAAGTCTTGCACCAAAGTTCCAACAATTTTACTTCTAGGATACCCTCAACCTTATGGAGCCTCAGAGATATTTTGGATGTGAATTTGTCAATGAATTCACTCAGTGGGAGCCTGTCAGCGGATATTGAAAATTTAAAGGCTCTGACTCAAATAGATATTTCAAAGAACGAATTATCAAGTGAAATCCCTAGCAGCATCGGAGGCTTGCAAAACTTGATGGAATTCTCCATTGCACATAACAAAATACAGGGCTCTATTCCGGAATCACTTGGAAACTTGTTTAGCTGGGAATTCTTAGATTTATCCGGTAATAGTCTCATTGGAGCAATTTCAAAGTCTCTTGAGAAACTCTTGTACCTTAAATACATAAATGTGCCTTTCAATAGATTGTAAGGAGAAATTCCTACAGGAGGATCGTTTGCAAACTTCTCAGCTGAATCATTTATGGGGAACAGTGCCCTTTGTGGTGCTACCCAGTTGCAAGTACCCCCATGCAAAGCTAGTACGCATCTAGGATCCAAGAGCAAGAAAGTCAGCTTTAAGATGATATATATATTATCAGCAGTTGCAACAACAGTATTAGTATTAGCTCGTGTTAGTTTTGTTAAGATGTCGGAAGAGGAATGCAAATTTTTTTGACACGGAAGATAGGTTAACTCTAGCAACATGGCGAAGAATCTCATACGCAGAAATTGGACTTGTAACAAACGGATTCAACGAAAGCAATTTGCTTGGTACAGGGGGCTTGGGATCAGTATACAAAGGAAAACTTTCCGATGGAACAGACATAGCTATTAAAGTTTTCAATTTGCAGGTAGAAAAGGCATTAAAAAGTTTTGATGATGAATGTGAAGTGATGAGCAAAATCCGTCACCGAAATCTTATTAAAATTATTAGTAGTTGTTCTAACTTTGACTTCAAAGCCTTCGTCCTTGATTACATGCCTAATGGAGTTTGGAAAAATGGTTGTATTCTCAAATTATTGTTGGATATCCTACAGAGATTAAACATAATGATAGATGTTGCATCAGCTTTAGAATATCTTCATCCACGTTCTCAAACACCTATTATACATTGTATTGAAGCCTAGCAATGTCTTGCTAGACAGAGATTTGTTGCACATGTGGGTGATTTTGGCATAGCAAAACTCTTAGGTGACGGGATTCTGTATACAAACCAACACCTTGGCCACCATCGGATATATGGCACCAGGAAACTTTTAAGTTTATGATCTAAATTTATATTTTGCTTGCAGACGTGTCTTTATATGTGTTTATGTTTCTAGGCTTGCTCACAGAGCAGGTTTTGTTTCCTCTGGTTCTAATAAATAACCTGTGAACATCATGTAGAGTATGGATCAGAAGGAATTGTTTCTGCAAGAGGAGATATCTACAGCTTTGGTATTTTGTTGATGGAAACATTTACCAGAAAGAAGCCCACAGATGACATGTTTGAGGAGCCAGAAGCCTGAAGTGCTGGGTAAAAGAGGCATTACCTGATTCAGTAACTGAAATAACAGATGCCAATTTGCTTGGAGAAGAAAATTTCACTGCTAAAAAGGATTGTATTTTGTCCACACTGGAACTGGCCGTGGATTGCTCTGTGGAATCATCAGAAAGGAGAATTGACATAACTGATGTCCTAAGTACACTTAAAAAAATCAGAACTAACTTTGAAAAGAGTGTAGCAATGACCTGACCGTGGAATAGAAGTCTCGATTTTGTTTTCTTTTCACAGTTCTAATCTGTTTCCATATTTACGAAATCATGTCACCACTAGTAATTTAGCAAAGCAAAGTTGTAACTATACCTGACACAATTTAACACACATAGACAGATAAATTGACAGTGACCAATAAAACAAAATAATTTGGTAGACAGCAAAATGGTATTGAAAATCATCCCAATTCTTGAAAGTAGAATTTGAAATATACTTGAAATGGACTCACTATTTTCCAGTGAATATTATGGCAGTGGCAAAATCTTTACAAATACACATTGTTTTACTTTTACTGTCGAATTGTACCTTCTGTGTATCAATTTAACCAGGGAACTATGGATATGCAGATCATTAGTGAGGACAAATAGAATTAATCATAATATAATTCAGTTTCGTGTGGTCAGCTGATCCTATTTTTGTTTGTCAATGAGTAATTAAATTTGTCACAGCACTAGATTCAATTATTAATCACACTGCAATACAGATGATCCTAACCAATGGACATATATTTGTTTTTCATCAGACAGATAATTGAAACAGACTTGTCAAGTGATAACATTTTTGAGAAATAGACTTGTCAAAATGGATCTACACAATGAATGAAGTACTCTGTTAACTTCGACAAAAATTAACCTGAAACTGCCAATCCCCAAAATTAAATGGCTTTGAATGTTCATTTTATGGACCCAGTAAATGCAGTTTAATAAATTTAAATTTAAATTATTTACTGAATATGATCATATAATCACTCAGACTTTATAAAGGGCTACATTTGATACTTCAAACACTCAATTTGACAAAAAAATTGAAACAATAGAGTAAAATTGAACACACGTGATCCTCACTGTTGATCGCTGCCAATTATACAAACTAAAGCAGTGGAGTGTCCATTTTCACCATCATTGGTAACATTAACAGTTTCTTCTTTCTGAGTCAAAAGATGAAGAGAAGAAAAAAAGAAATAAACAGAAGAACTAAGCGCAAGAATTTAAACATTCAAATAATCTTTAAATTGCTGAAAACCTTAGATTAGACAGAACTATTAGAAATCAATTTAACACTTCCAAACTCTGATTACAGTAATGCTAGGTCCATAACCCCATCTCACAACCTTCTCTCATAACTCCTGACATGTCAACTCACAATTAGGCTAGTGAGACCTATTTGCGAGCTACTACGTTGGAGGTTGTAAGATTGGGTTGTGAACCTAATATTACTCCTTTGAATATACTAGAAAGGATCAACTTTCCTTTCAGTACTCATTTTTTTCTTTTTTGGATTGGTAAGATGTGATCTAAACCCCTTTCTATATACCACCTCATGCATTATCACTTGAGTTAATAAAACCAAAAGGCAACATATGTCCACCATCAAAGGCTAGTTCTACCAACATCAAATACAATTTGTGTCACTCAAAATCATATCATGTCTTCTTCTTTAAACTAAGCCCTTCAACCACAGTAAGTGGTTTCAACAGTAATTCAACTCATATACATGGTGACTGATAGGTAGGAAGAAAAACTACCTGCTACATATCTAACAACCAAAAAAAAATGTGAATAAAATAAAATAAGATATATTTGCTTCCTACCTCTCTTCCAAGTGCCAGAGTTATATATCAAAAGACGCTCTTCCAGTAACTTAGCAAACAATAATCAAATACACAAAGTGTCCTGTAGACTAATACATATATGGAGACAAGCATACCTTTTTAGTTAGACCCTGTGCAGTCATAAGCTCGTAAAATTTACGCATCAGTATCTCCTCCTCAACCTGCAAACCGTTAAACATGAAATTTTAATGCTGCTCTACTCCAAGTAATAACCATAAAGAGAGAATTTCAGGAATCTGTTACACCATAATTTTCTGTAATCGAAGATTCTCAGGCACATAAATGTATTTTCTACACAAGGACCTCAAAAACAAAAGAAAAAGAAATGATTGGTCTTTGATTGCATTAAGACTGTATAATACAATGCCAAAATAACAAGAGAAATCAAAACCCAATAAAAGAATACTATAAATGAACCTAAAGTTTATGTAATTCATGAGACATTGAATTATGGGCCTCAGTAAGAAGCTCATTCTGCTTCTCCAAATGCCTGCAAGCACATAAAACACGAATTAAATTCAAGTTCAATTATAATCCCTAACAAAACAGGATAATTAAATGGACTAACTTCAAGATCTCCCCGGTGTAACGAGGATCCATAGTATAATGTAAAACTTAGTTGCTGATATGCAACCAACTAAACAAAGCTTTGTTATGAAGGCAACAAGATTCAACCTGCATAAAATATTAAGCAAATAAGCATAATTTAATTTACAGAAACCAGAAAGCAAAAGCTAATGACTAAATTCTTGATGACAATATCAAGATTTCAAGACATATAAATTACAGAAGCAAATTATTTTCCCTAAGAACAATTGAATTTCCATCACACACAGGCATTTCATCAAGCATCTTATAGGCGCCCAATAGGCGTACAGGGGTAAAAATTCTGCATGTGCATAAATCAAAGCAACCCACGTAAATTTTGAATATTTACAATCTGTAATCAAAGCTCAATGCCGCTCAGACGTCACAAAAGAGATAAAGCAACAAGAGCGCAGCGAAAAATATCCACAGTAGCTTTAAATTCTAATGCCCTTCACTGTGCTTAAGTCTTAAATGATTATTTATCGACTCTCTACATCGTTAAGTTACATATACGGTATACATATTGAATGGATAAAAAATTAAATTAACTTACTTAAAAATAATATAATTTAAATTTTTTCAATTCAAATTAAAAATAATTAGATTATATTTTGATGTTTAACCAATAAGGTATAAATAATCCCAAACACAACTAGAGCAATGATAATGATTTTATTAATTATTTCAGTCAAACAATATTTTAAGTCTAACCAACAAGACGTTGGGTTTTGCTTACAAATTAAGAACATCAATTATTTCTAACAATAAACAACAAATATTCAACATACAATTAAACTAGTGGAGTTGTAGAACATTGTTTAATTGCATACCGGAAAATGGTGGAATTGGGTGACGGGGTCACCCCCACCTAGGAATACTTGGTGGAGATGTGAAAAGCGGAATTGGGTGGTAGGGCCACCCCCACCTTGGCGGAATTGGGTGGTAAGGCAACTCCCCACCTAGGAATCTACCACCACGATGGATTTTTTGCTGCAGTGACTGCATCAATCGGACTGATTCTGGAGGCATTATCTCCAGATAAAGCAACAAAGATGAACAAGATAACAATGAGTGCTCCTTTCATGGTTAATTGCAAAATTGAAATTTGATTAGCCTGAAGATAGTGAAGTTTGATGGTGCTGTTTGTGAGATTATATAAAACAAATCAAATAAGATTAGAACAAGATTTAATTTTAAAATTCAAGTTAATTATCATTAAAATTCAATATAACATTTCGCCTGTAAATTAGAATCATAAAATTGTTTAGGTTTCATGTTTGACACAGACATTCTCACATTGTTTACGCTTTCTTGGATTATCCATATTAATTTATTTTTCTACAAAGGAACATGGACCAAGTCTGATACTTCAAGAAATTATGGGTCTGTTTTGTTTTATTATTTTAGATAAAATTTATAACGTCTTTGAAAAAGTAAGAGTTTGGTGGTTAACACAAAGCGAGATTTGAAAATTAGCAAAATAGGATCCTAGTTTGTTAATTTAATAAACACTTATGTAATAAAATATTAAAAATTAACAAAAATATCTCACTCACCCATTAAATACTAACAATCGGTCATCACCTTTGGAGGGTGGTAGGAGTTATTGTGTTGGCGCACGATCGGCTGAATTTAGCTGATCGTGCACCGATATGATCTTTTCTGACCAGATTTACAGTTAGATTTAACCGTCTGGCCACGTTATTGACAACTAGCTATAGCCAAAGATCTAGCCGTCAACGTATGTTTAAGGCCAACAAATGCAGGAGCTTAGTTTTCTGAATTATGATAATACATTCATGAAATATTAAGTAGTATACATTGCTCTTGTACAAAAGGGCCACCTTGGGTGGTCCAGTGGTTCTATAGGGACTTTTGAGTGTATTATTTAAGAATTCAAGTCCCTCCTCAGATGCTAATAGGAGTAACCACTTGAGCTCTTATCCGATCGGTAGTTTCAAAATCCTAGGGGATTAGTTGAGGTGCGTGTAAACTGGCCCAGATACCTCAGTCCAAAAAAAAAAAAAGGGGCCCGCCATATTGTTCAAACTATGTCACCTTCATTTGAAGTAAGGAACTCTTTAATGGTAGAGTTTGAAGAACTTTTTCTTGCTTTATATAAGTCCAAGACTTAAATTCCTTCCAAAATGGGCAGAAATCTGGGAAAGGTTGGTTTGTTGTGTTTGGTGGTATGTAGTTGTTACAGGTATATATATGAATATTGTTTTCTAAGGTTTGGTTTGTTTGTAAAGTGGGACTGAGTTTTCAAACATGACTTGCCTTTCACTCATCTGCATTTACAAATCTCTGTCACCAACTTCCTGGCGTCACTTTGAATTAATATTTTTTTAAATTTGAACAAGTTATTTTATTAAACATCGTTCTTACTCTTGTTGTTAAACTTGATCAAATGAGTTGCTCGATCATTTTCAAGGTTCAGCCTTCTAGAGTTTCTTGTAATTGTCGTTTAAGAAGTGAGTTTTTAAATAGAAATTCACATGATGAGGGTTCTTGTAATTTACGTTCAAGAAGTTTGTGTTTATCATAGGCCATATTTTCTTAGTCATATCAATGTCACATGTGATGATAATGTTGTGCTTTAGTTCTGGTTAGATGAACTTTCATTGAAGAATAATTATGGTAAAGCAATGGCCTCCAAGTCCACATCAGAAATTTAAAAAGGTTGAATTATCTTCCGGGATGAAGAACCATCAGGTCAGATGTTCGGAAACTTTACCAGGAAGTGATCCTTCTATAGGGAGGAGAACATGGGGAGGAGAATATAACTGGAATTCAAAAGTTGCATTGCTTCATGGGTTGAAAAATGATTCTGGGAAGTTTAATTCTTGTAAAGGAGCCCACCTGGGGAAAAGGCATTTGTGGTTTCGTAGGCATGTTAGATCAATTGCATGTATGTTTGTATTGCTGAGTTTCTTTTTCCTGCTTGATTCTCTTATGGTGTCAATATTTGATTCGGTAAATATTCGGAATAGTTCAACCTCGAAAGATTCAAGAGGGCTTGAGGTAGGACTTTGAATTTTTTTTTTTTATTAGGATGGCATGTAGAACTAGTTGATATTTGATTGAAATTGTTCTTTAAAAATCTTTTACTTCATTTTGCAAAGGAGAATACTGTTGCCTACGTGAACAAAGATAAACCGCCAATAAAGATGCATGGCCGGCTTCTGAGTTTGGCTTCCAGTGCTCTAGAAGAGGTTTGCTTCATGATTTTACATGCTCCAATACATTATATTATATAAGTTTGTTATAACAGATGAATAGATTTCTTTCTTCCCTCAAGACTCTGAAACCATTACCATGTTCTAGAAAGAGATCAAGCAAGAAAAAGCAAATTTCTGGAAGGAACCATATCAGCAGGCAGCTTTATGGAAACCCTGTGCTGATAGGAGAACTCCGAATATAGGTAATTGAGCGTTCTTCTTAATGATTCATTCATATAAGTACTCTTATTAATTGCTTCATGTAGAGTAACATTGATGTTAGCATGATTAGTGAATTTGAATGTCGACCAGTTAACATGATTAATTCCTTCAATGCGTTGTTGAGACAGGGAAGCCTGACAAAACTAATGGCCATATTATGGTGAGTGCAAATGGTGGTCTCAATCAACAACGAGTTGCTGTAAGTATCTAAGTTGCTTTCTTTACGTTCATTTCAATTTCCAAGAGAAAATAAAGGTTTCTTCTGATTTCAATTAATAAATTTAAATTGATAAACTTGATCATCAATTTACTGGTTTTTTATTTGCAGATTAGTTGGGTGAAGCCCTCTCTAAACTCTCTTGCTTTTTAATTGCCATTCAAATTTTATTAACACATAGTTATTTGCCTGCAGATTTGCAATGCAGTTGCTGTGGCATCTTTGCTTAATGCGACTCTAGTTCTTCCGAGGTTTCTTTACAGCAATGTATGGAAGGACCCNTTTCCAAGAGAAAATAAAGGTTTCTTCTGATTTCAATTAATAAATTTAAATTGATAAACTTGATCATCAATTTACTGGTTTTTTCTTTGCAGATTAGTTGGGTGAAGCCTCTGTACACTCTCTTGCTTTTTAATTGCCATTCAAATTTTATTAACACATAGTCATTTGCCTGCAGATTTGCAATGCAGTTGCTGTGGCATCTTTGCTTAATGCGACTCTAGTTCTTCCGAGGTTTCTTTACAGCAATGTATGGAAGGATCCCAGGTTTGCAATTATGTCTGTAATAAAGCTATGAAATGTTTACTTCTGATATGTGTTGGCTGCTTTTTTCATTAATGTTCTGGCTTTCCCCTGAGTTGGTCAATGTTGTTGTCCAAGATATAAATGTAGTTACTATCAATTGGCAAATATTCATAGATGTTTTGATGGAAGTGCAGCCAGTTTGGTGATATCTACCAAGAGGAGTATTTTGTGAACATGGTGAAGGATGAAATAAATATTGTCAAAGAGCTTCCTCCTCATTTGAAATCTATAGATATTGAAGCAATCGGCAGCCTAGTATGTTAACTTCTTAGTTTCTATGCTCATTTTGTGCTAATACTCTGCTGTCCTCTTTCAGAACATTTTCTTAAACATTTTGTCTTGATTTTCTCAGATTACTGATGCAGATATTGTGAAGGAGGCTAAGCCCATTGATTATGTTAGAAAAGTACTTCCTCTCCTAGCGCAGAACGGAATCGTTCACTTCCTTGGATTTGGAAATCGACTAGGCTTTGATCCATTGCCTTCCAATCTTCAGGTTAAGTTCATTCCTTGTTTCAATTTTAGTTGATATTTGTGATGTGGGAGCTCTACACTAATATTGTATCCTGTAATTTTTTACTTTTGGCTTCATGACTTGGTGCTATATTCTTGAACTTTCAACAGAGATTGAGGTGCAAATGTAACTTCCATGCGTTGAAGTTTGTCCCAAAAATTCAACAAGCTGCTTCAACATTGGTCACAAGGATAAGAAAATATCATTCTGCACGCAGTGTTCTGGACAAACAATTGCTTGGAAACTTCATGCCCAACACTCCCTCCAAACATCATGGCAGTGAAAGAGATCCATCTAAATATCTTGCTTTACATTTGAGATTTGAAGAGGATATGGTGGCCTACTCCCAATGTGATTTCGGAGGTGGAGAAAACGAGAAAAAGGAACTTCAATCATACAGAGAAATCCATTTCCCTCTGCTGATTGAACGATTGAAGAACTCGAAGTATGACTTTTATAAGATTTTCAAGTCATGATTTCTTAAATATTAGTTCAATGAACACAAAACATTTTGGTGATTGGCCTCCTACATTTTATTGATGTTTGCAGGCCTATTTCTCAGGCAGAGTTGAGAAAGCTGGGGAGATGCCCACTGACACCCGAAGAAGCAGCACTTATTCTATCTGCTCTTGGTTTTAAGCGTGGAACTTACATTTATCTAGCTGGCTCTCAAATATATGGAGGAAAATCCAGGATGGATCCCTTCACCAGCCTCTATCCAAATTTGGTAACCAAGGAAACACTCCTCACAAAAAGTGAACTTGAACCTTTTACGAATTTCTCCTCTCAGGTAAAATAGTATTTCTTTGGAAATGTTACTTAAACATGCCTAAACAATCTCTCTGGCCAGTAGTTGAACTATCTGTTTAGTAACATTGTCTAGAATAACTCTGGGTGCAGCTGGCAGCACTGGATTTTATTGCCTGTGCAACTGCTGATGTATTTGCCATGACCGACTCTGGGAGCCAACTATCATCTCTGGTGTCCGGATTCCGAACTTACTATGGTGGCGGGCATGCTCCTAACTTGCGACCTAACAAGAAGAGGCTTGCAGCAATTTTGTCAGAGAACAGCACCATAGGATGGAATGAATTTGAAGATAGAGTAAGAAAGATGATTGAGGAAGGTCAAAGGGTGCGTGTAAGGGGGTATGGTCGAAGTATTTATCGACAACCAAGGTGCCCAGAATGCATGTGCAGATCATACTAGATGTCCTCTGAATGCTTTTTGAGAACCTTTTATTCCAAGGAAGGCAATATAGAGTTGTAAATTTTTGTCCCCCTTTTTTTTACTCATTCATTCCATTCATAAGTTTCAATAAATTTTTATCATTGTAATTAAATATAATAGTGTTTGTCGTATAAGTTAAGTCAGCTAATTTTTGGTTGGTTGCAACGTTGTTTTAGTTTTAGTTACTAAAATTTTCAGAAACTAACAGTCTTTATGTTATTTCCATATTTGTTCCACACTGTTAACACTGATTAATGGCAGACTCAACTGAGAACATAAAGCGGCAAGAGACATTGATATTTCTACAAATGAATCAAACTGAATGCAAGGGACAAAAAGAATAATATTTGGATTAAACTCAAATAACCCGAGTGAAATTTACATACGAGAAGGAAGAGAAAACGGAGTTGTCATTTCTCTGCCATGCAAAAACATATGGATCTCTGTTTCACTCTTCTCTGCAGAACTCAGATAGCTGGATAAATCATATATCCATTATCTGGAGATGATGCTCTTCCTCTCACATCTTTCTCTTGGAATTGCATTACTTTATGATGGAGGGAAGAAACGGTTGAGATTGAAAGGGAGAGTGTAGAACTCCTCGTTCCGGGTGTCTCCTTTGAATGTCCTGAATTTCACCCACCAGGGCATGCCTCTATCTCTGGCACTGTCTTTGTAATCAAGTGTGTTGTCTAGGAAAACAGCGACAATCAGTGCAACAGTTGGAGATGAGAAGAATATGGTATTCAGGAAATCGTTGAACTGGCCACCAATGAACAGAAGTTTAGATTGGGATTCTCAGGATAATTGTTAGCAAAATCACTTCAGAAATTATCTAATTTATAAGCTTTCGAGGTGCTAAGAATTTTTATGTAAAAACAAGTGACAGAGAATGTAACAGGTTGTCAAATGCTGAGAGTTTTAAGCATTAAAAGGAAACATGTATAACAAATAACTCACCCATCCAGCCTTGGAGTGAGCAGGGCCGTGAAGAGCCTTGGCAGTGTATTCACGGAAGTATTCAGGAATAGACAAACCTAAGAAGAGGGCAACACCAACGATGAAGAGGTTCCTCATTGAGTTCATGTTTGTGAATTGCAAAAATGACAGCCCCACAGATGCTTTAAACAAGAAGAGAGTAACCGTCAGATACAGAAAGAAGAAAAAGACAAGTAAATAGTATAATGAAAAAGAAACCAAGCAAACCCACCAACAAGACCAAACAAAACATAGTACACAGCAGCAAATATTGGGAAGGGGATTGATGCAAACAAAGCTCCAAATTTCCCTGCAGGAAAAAGAATTCAACTTGACTATAAAAAAAAAGAACATCAAGGACTTAGATTCTTAAACAGAATTTGCAATAATCGGTCACAAAGACACAAACCCAATATTGAGAAGAATATCATAAAGCCAGTTGAGATTTGAATGGCCTTGCGTCTTCCAACACGAGTGCTTCCAAGCAGCCCCACATTTTCTCTGTTGTTTTTCTCAAAATTAATCTCATCTGCATTAAAAGCAAAATTTGAAGGAAGAGAGACACTTACACGGAGACTGAAGAACCGTCAAAGTTCCAAAGAGACCATCGAGTAGGATGCCTATTCCCTGCAGCCTATACCACGGCTAAGTACATGAGCCGGAGGTGGAGTGGCACTTGCTAGACGTGATGCCGCCTTGTATGCTCCAGTTGACTGTTAAGACAAACTTTACTTTCATTATCACATTATCATGGCTAAAAAACTTCAGTTTTCATTGAATTGAAAAGAATAAACAGGTTATACCTCAATTAATGAGACTAGAACAGCAGCCATCATCCCAAAAGCATGACCAGCATCAAATGTAGGAGCACCCCACTGAAGAGGATATGGGATTTTTATCCTGGTTGAAACAAATTTCATGGTCAAAAAGCAATAGCAATAGAATGACACCAATAAACTTTTCCAAAGTTTAAAACAGTTAGTGCCACTTCTAGACAACTTTTTCAAATTTTCATTAGTACACTTTGACATATCCTATTATGTGGTCCTCACAAGCTTCTAATTATTTGAAGGACAAATAACTTGAAAAGAATTTCCTGTCTTGTTCGGGATAAGTTTCCTTTAGTGACAACATTAACTCCCCATTACCAAATAAGATGTTTATAAATAATATCTTAGGTTGACTTGCTCAAATGGCTTTGACTCAACCATGCTTCCTAGAAGAATAGAAAATGCAGCATATATTTTCAATCATCTGTCTTTTAATGAGTATATATTCACTGAGACAGTGTTTCGGTATGAACCATGGAGCAGTGGAAATGAGGTTGGCCTTGTCAGTTCGGCAATTCATTTGGGTAACATCTGGATGATGTTTATATGCGCCACTGGCTGTCAAGAGGTGTGCATATGCCCATATCACTGTGATGGATATCAGGAGAGCAAATCTCTCCATTATTGGCAATTGTCTTGTCAGAAAATTCTTCAAGTACTGCAACAGAACACAAGACAGAATTCGAAAATCAGCATGCATTTATAATAGCTCTTAATTTCTTTTGCTAATGAGAACGTAATTAGGCGCAGGCAAATGCAATTAACAAAAAATGCTAAAAGTTTTGCCCCCAAGAATGCTATTCTCGGTTCTAAGTGCATGAATATTTCACTTATTAATTCTTTTAAATTTTCTTCAAAGTAAGTTTCAAGCTTCACAAACATTTTAAATTACATTATTAGTAGCACTAATAACACCAAAGTGACTTTATAAATAACCTTCTCAATAATTTTTTTTTTAATTCTCTATTAGCAACATGGCACCATATTGCACTGAAAATTTGCCAACTTCCATTTTCTTATTAATCTGATGTAACCAATTCTGCAATATGAAATGTTTGTAAATGCATGTTTTCTTGATGATTAAAGGAGAGGTAGTAAGACCTGTGACAAGGCTATAAATAGTATAAGCATAGGAATGCCAATTTCCACGCACCTTCCAACCTGAAAGAAAAATTTTAAAAGGGACCAAACAGTTAATTGCATGAGGCATTTCAATCTTTCATCTTAATTTGTGAAAATTATAACATGAAAACAATGCCACTGATAATAGTTACTATACCACAGGGAAGCCTCTATCAAACAGGCCAAAACCCACCAAAGCAATAACTGGAACCATTCCAAGGGGACTAAAGAACCTGAAAGGCAAAATTTAATCTCATTTAATCAATAAACTCTGACTAATATTGAAGATTGTTGAAACTTCAGTTTAGATAAAATTTTCACCTGGAACAGATGGCCCACAGTTGGCTGTATCCAAGAATAATTTGTATGCTTGATGCCACTATTAGAGCACCTTGAACTGCTCTCATTGTGTTAAGAAATCGCTGAACACACAAACAAAACCATTGGTTATTTAAGGAACAAACACTAACACTCCCACTATCAACAAATTGTGTGAGTGGCTTTGTGCCAATCTTTTGTAGCATCAAATCAATATACAACCCAAAAAAAAAAAGAAAAAAGAAAAAAAAAAGCATCCAAACATCCAGTTAAATTATTAAATTTGTCCTCAGACACACTGATTAGACTTGCATTTGAAAAATGAAGATCTTCTTTCTACCTGATAAGGTCTATACTAGATTTGTTTACATTAAATAAATAGTAAAGCCGATTAGGTAAGTGGGCCACACGAATATTGACTAAAGAACTCCCTCTGTTTCTCAATGGAATCCAACTTTAATGAAATAAAGCAAATACAAAACTGAGAAATAAAACCAAGATTTGGAATTAGACTAACCACATGATTATCCTCAATACTCGCCAATGATGGATCATGAATTATTGATATAATTGGAACCATAAACGCATAGGACCCTCCAATCACGGTTGGTAGCCTGGTACCAAACAGTGTTTGTAGAAGTGTATTAATCCCTTCTACAAAAAGAAGTGTCTGTACCACCCTCGCTTTGTCACCCTGAACCATCATCACAGTTAACAAATGAAATTCATGTAACCGTAAAACGCTTCAAATATAAATTTTTCAACTGACTCACATCAGTGCCTCCCATTAAAGGAACAAGAAATGAGGGGATCATAACAGCAGTCCCTAAAGCCAAAATGTAATGCTGAAATCCCAAAGCAATAGCCTCTCCTGCATTCACAAGCATAGAGAAAACAAAAAAAAACAAAAAACCAAAATGAACAAAAAGCACCCAACAAAATCAATGAGTTAACGAAACGAATAGATTAAAGACAAAAAAGTGGACATACCCCAAGACGGGTTGGAGTCAATACAGTACTCTAAGCCTTGAAGCTGGTCCATTGGTGGATGAATAATCTCTTCAGGTTTTGGAGCAGCCATGGCTTTTTTTAGCTCGTAAGCTGAAATGGGAATCTAACAAATGAATCAAGGAATGGAAAAAGAAACAGAAATAGAGAGAGACTCTCAAATTGCTTACGTAACGAAAGCAATGGAATTGATAGATGAAGCAATGAAAAGGAAAAGGAGAAAAAAGAAAAAGAATCAAAATGATAGTAAAAAGAAGAGAGTGTGAACAAAAAAAGTCTAAGAGAGAAGGAGAAAAACTAGAAGAAATAGAGTGAGAAAGGAAAGCAGTTGCCGCCCACTAAGCTTCTTCTTTCTTTGTAGAGTCATGGCCATGTATGTGCTTTTCATTTTATACAAAAGTTGCCGTTAACTTTTAGAAAATCCCCAAATTGCCCCTTAATGAACTTCCAAACTCAATGTTACCGTTGGCTCCACCTCTGTGTTTCCAATAAATTTTTACAACTCAACTTGTTAAAAAACATTCTCTCAGATTCATTTACCAAATAAAGAATAATAAAATATTAAGGTAATTAATTAATGAGAGCATCATTAAGAAGCATATTTTAAGCAGTAATATAATTTAATCTCCTCTTTTAAGAAAATTTATTTTTAAAGGGTGTGATGATGATGTGTATTGACTGTTACAGTTTATGGTTTTGATTCAAGAATAATCTCAGCCATCCACTTGACATCATGAGGCAAGGGATATAATAAAAAGATGGGGTCAACTTATCTTTCTTCTTCCTTTTCTTTTTGCCTTTTGTGATTATGGAGGAATCACCGGAAAATAAAGGGTTTGAGATTATCCTCAACCTCCATCTCAGTCCTTGGATAGAGTTTTAAAAAAAAAAAAAAAAAAAAAACTATTTATAAAGTCATTACTTTTTTAAATTTGTCTCCTACTCTAATGGCAATCTGAATAATCAAAATGGTTATTAAATAATAAATCATTGATTATTACTAATTATTTTAAGTTTTTTTAATGTTTATACTTTTTTTGTTATGATCGGAATATTCGAATTAACTTGTGTATACATCAACCAATCTTCGAAATCTGAACTATCAGTCAAATAAGAATTTCAATAATTACTTCTATTAAGGATTACGGAGACTCAAATTCGAAAAATTATATAAACTTATATATTTCTTTATTCTTTGATCGTCAAGTTACTTGTGGTGGTTATTTTAGATGTTTATACCGTTTAACTTCCCATTTGACAAACCTTAGACTCGGTAAAAGAAATTATTTTTTTGTTTAAAAAAAATATATATTATGTAATTAGTTTTGTACTTATTATATGCTTGAACAGAGTACAGGGGTTGGGATATATCATGGAAAACAAAAAACATATTTTATAAAAAGGGGTTGTTTTTGTTGGGTAGTCGTGTGTGGTTGATGCAAAATTAATAAGAAATTAAATAAGGGAGAGAGTGACTAGGCCCCAACGTGTGTGATAGAACAGTGTCACAGTGAATCAGTGTACGGTTCTGTTACACTCTAACGTCTCTTAATTTGATGCCAAGACAAGCACCAGCTTCGAATTACGAGCCTGTTACTCTCTCTATATAACAACTCCAATCCTCACGCTATTTACGCCTCTGTCTCCCTCGGTCCCTCCTCCTTACCCAACCATCATCATCTTTCCATTTATGCTTTAAATAATAATATACAAACCCTCTTCACTTTATTTCAGCTCGCCGTTCAAGATAATGCCTGCCGCTTTTGCCTATGGGATTTAGTATTTTACCTGAACAGCTAATTTTCACCCACTATCTCTCAGGGTTGAATATAATGACCCTATTTTTTCATACAATCATCTTATCAGAAGGAGCGAAAGACATATTCTTATCCGAGGCTTAACAAAATTTTGAGTTGATATCATATTTATTCTAGATTTTCACCTTTAAAGTAATATTGTTTTCTTTATTTAAACAGATTCTTAACTTTTTACTGTAACGCAATGCAAGTTAACACGCTAAAGTGGCTTTCTTTAGTAGAATACGGACTCATATTAACAAAAACAGCTCATATTAGTAGTATCCAAGCTGACAGTTTTTGGCTTTTTTTCAACCAATTCTAAAGTCCAAAATCACTTCTAAGACCATTGTTGGACTCTCCACAACCTTCTCTACAAAACTCATACCTTCATTTACCGACTTTACTCACCGTTTTTAATCACCTCCAACAGTCACTAACAGTGTTAGTTTAAGAATGAGAATCAGAAATAAATGTAACTAAAGATATCAACTTAAAATTTTGCTAAACCTCGTATGGAAACAATTTGCTAAACCTCGTATGGAAACACGTTGTTTACTCTATTAGATCCCAATAGAATCATTTTAACTGACCCGTATGAAAACTCGTTGTTTACTCTATTAGATCCCAATAGAATCATTTTAACTGACCCAAAATAGTAGAATCATTCTTTGTGTAACAGAGAAAATAATTTAACTTTTGGATGTACCAAAATAAGATAATATTAGAAGTAGTGGAGTTAGGATGATTGTGTCAAGTGATTTAGATCACCTTAGATGCTAACAATGTACTAGGCAGTAGGCAATAGAGAGTAGGAGAAAGCCAGAAAGGAAAAAAAACTGCATAAAAAAAATCATGAATAATTAGATACCCTCCAACACAGAACGACGTGGGTCCTTTTGAGACTTCTTTTGAATAATTGCATACCTTTCGGCCAGGGCTTGGCATACGCGTTAAAAAGGACATGATTTTGACTTGGGAGTGAGGACTGAAGGTTAAAAAACGAATTCAAAAAGATCACTTTTGTGATTTTGTTCTAATATCCGTATTCTTTGGCAATTCAACTCAACTTTTTTCAACAACACTAGGGTCTAGTACTAGTACAAAGCTGGAGAGCAAGAATATCCAATTTTCAACAAAAACTATTTCTCTCCAATGCTTTCATCTAAAAGCCATTGGACTGCAGATAAATAAGTTGGCAACAGCTGTTGACAGTACCAATTATACAAATGCCATTGGGCTTCATTCTTGGGATTCCCATACAAAATTTTTTTAAAGTCAAATCATCTTGGAGCATTGGAGCTTGTACAACATACACCACTTATATTTGTGGGGGAGGGAGAGGAAAGACCGCAGTGTGAAGAGTAGAATGCAACAACATCGTAATCACTTTGAAGCTGGACAAAATCTGAACACAATCATGCCAGGAGTCATTTAACGTTGTCCCAAATTAGTGCCTATGTATTCCATTATAAACAGCTCAAGATCTTCTCTCCAACCTCCTTTCACTAGATCTTCTTTCTTCTGCCTCCCGCCGTCTTTGTTGCCTACAATTTTAAGAAATAGATATCTGAGCAACGGCATCCTTTAAGAGCTTAGCTGCAAGGAACTAAAATGCTAAAAGAAAATATAATATATATGTATATGATTTTTTTTTTTTTTTTAAAAAACCAAAAATTTCTTTACCTTCCTTATATATTCGTCAAGTTCTAAACTAGAAGCTACTTAGACCCTACTGCCTTGGTGGCCAATAAACATGTACCACATGATATTCCAAGTAAACCAGAGAGGATATGAACAACAAATATGTATATAATCATATATCAACAATCCAAAGGTTAAATTTTGTATTCAAAGTTCTGCTGTACTACAAAAGCAGAAACATTCATGATTAGCATTACATTTATGAAAAACGACTCGAGTTTCTCTGTCAAAACACACACAAACAAATAATTGTGCTAAGATCACAAAACCAAATCAATCTATTATCCGCTGGAAGCTTTACATTTTAGCATTTTCTCCTAGGGATATATACATAAATTTGAACAAAGGTATGACAAGGAGAAGCTGGCCTATCTAAAGTTGTGAAAATGGCATTTATCTTAAGTTATGTCAATGTTCACAAAAACCACTTAATGGTTTAAATTTTCTTTCAGACCACACAACCTGATTTTCAGACTCAGTAAGGACTGCTTGCCTTTTTATCCAATTATTGAGATAACAAAATATTTAGTATGCATGTGTGCATCACAGTGACATATTACCAAAAGACATGTCAAAGTAACATATCCCTTTAATATAAAAAGTTTTCGAAACTTGTGAGACATAATGATGATATTCTAGTCATCACAAAATTAAAGAACAGCCAAGAACAATTGAATCACTAGTTTGCTAATTAATATCAAAAAAATTAAGAGGGTATTTGAAGGAGCTATGCTATTGAAAACAGTCGGAGCCATCAAAGTTTGTTCAAGAGTCCAAGACAGTGCCTTAAAAACCTAAAAAGATGCTTTTTTCAATTGGAGGACTGTTTCTTTGAATGTTTCCCTCATAACAATAGACATTAAAATTCAAACTCATGATGTGAAGACATTATGTAACGTCTGGTTTCAACAAAGTTAAGATAAAAGTTCTAGGAAGAAAAAAGGTCAGAGAATGACGTCAGAGAATAAATGTTCCAAGAAAAACTTACGCAAACGCAGTGTATCCAGAGCCAGCATTAGCAGCAGATAAAATTGCTGCATGAGCCCCAGCTGCAGATAGAGAATCCTGCCCCACTGTAGATAGAGGATTCTTTCGATCACCATCCACCTAACATAAGTAGACCAATTAAAATGATACTTATTGACACCATGAATATCTTTTAAGGCCAGGAAAAAAAAAAAAAAAAAGAAAGAAACAAAAACTGTATGCATAGGTGAGAACCTTGTCCCACTTCGATTTCTTGTTCTGTCTACCATCCCTTGCAGCAGCATCATTTGCATTCAGCACTGGATGCAAACCAGACACCAGCATAATCAATCAAACTATAAGAAAACAATATGACAAATTACACAGTTATCTTGTATAGAATCTTCACGCACCTGGAACGGGTATGTTAGGTTTTGGGGCAGCAGCAACTATTCCAGGTTGCACTCCTCCTGCAATAAATTCAACCTTCTGATTCCTTTTACTTTCTTGATCCTTTCTTTCCCTTTCACGCCTCATGTCAGCCTCTGCATTATAAAACATGATAAAGGTAAGCATGAAATTATGTTTGCCAAAAATACAAATTGAAGTCAATTTTTTTTTTTTGTTTTGCGGGAAAAAACCTTGACAGTAGAAGGAAATTTATAGAAAATAACACTTAGAAAAGGGGGCATAAAAGCCTTACCCCTCAATGGCTAAAGTATGAGGATTACCAGTTAACCTTCAGAATAAAATCAACAAGCAAGGAAATTTATCTGACAGAAAAAGCTGGCAGTTTATGAACCATACAAATATAAGCCTCAAATCTTAGCAAATTTTTTAATCAGCACGCTAGCAAAGGTTTAACAAAACCAAATTAGATGACACATTCAAAGAACAAAACACCAATTAGAGAATACTATGAATAAATAATGGAACCCACAGTAGACTGTACATATCAGCATAAAGTACCCCCAGCCACAAGAGTGTGAGGGAGAGAGATAGAAGGAGAGAATTGTAGAAGGAACTGTTATTGACCTATTTCATCAAAGTAATCGCTTTTGTCATATCCATGTGGGTCAAATACATCTTTACTGAAGCAAGACCCTATCTGATCAATATCTTGATACCTCACCGCATGCAGTAAGAAGTCCGGATTCCGATAATCCTTCCTATTACGAACTTCTGCATTGAAGCTTTTTCCAATTCTCTTTAAACCTAGAAATTTATCTATCTTCCTCTGCAGCAATATAAGAGAAAGGAAAAAAAATCAACACCCCATAAAAATGTACTCAATCTGGAAACAGATTATTTAGATTAATGTAGGTTCTACTATTCCAAATTGATTTATTCTTTCACAGAAACCAAAACTTTCAAAGATCTAGATCTAGCGAGGATATTAAAAAGAAAAGCATCAAAGTCAAGAGTTCAAGTCAATTCAGTCAGTCTCAACTTTAATGTCAACCACCATCACAAGAGCATATAAACCAGATTTCATTATTCAAAGCAACACTGAAGTGGTGCAGTAAAAGACATTTTCTAAGTCACAGAACCAATTTTGCTCAACTAGCAACACAAGTTACAGCGATAACTGCAACTGGCAGCAAAATTAAATACCTCAGACCCAATATTTATGAAAAAAATATTACTTAGAAAATCCCTTAAATCTCCAAGTTACAATATTTCAAACCAACTCTTATATAAAGTAAAATTGGTTGCAAACCTCAACAGAAGGCTCATTTTAAAAATCAAATGGCATTTGGCACAACTGCAATTAATCAGATATGTGACAATTTCAAGAGCCCCCAATCATAAGCATCTATTAACAGGAAAGCATAAACATTTGAAACCCTAACATGACCTAAATTTCATTCTCACAAAAAATAGTCCAAGAATATAGAAAACGTATTTTCAATAAGAGTAGGCTCATGCTCAAAATCAGAGAGAAAAGGAAAAAAAAAGCCTTGTCTAGACTATTCTTATTTTTATAAGAGCTGTAGTAACATGAAAAGCTTTCAAGCATTCTATGAGTAAAAATTTCATTGTAAATCTTCCCAAACTACTAATTTAAAACAGCCTATACTCTTTCTCACTATATGATTTATAATTGTATATTCCCTTCTATGGCTACCGCAAACTTCTTTAACGAGGCAAAATAAGAACCATAAACTACAAAGAAACCCTAACTACAATTGGGGAAAAAAAAAAAAAAAAAACATATAGACAAATCTGGCATGTAGACTTCCCATATATGTTTCAAAAATCATAAGATATCTTTTCTGTCTCTCACACATATAGTTAGCAAAAGTTCAATATGTTACAGTCATCAAGTTGTAGACATAAAAGTCCCCATCTAACTACAAAGAGTAACACATGTATAGCACAATAGTTCTTAACAGATACAGAAACTACTTACCTGCAGCTCCTCTGAGCACTTGGCTTTTGGTGGTGGAGGGAGAAACTTATCTAATGGATCAGCTTCTTCTTCTGTAACCTCAACAGTCTCCTGAACTACCACAGTTTCTGATTCCGTCGGAGAATAAGTCATTGGATCATGTTGTGATTGTTCAAAATGCTCTGTTGATTGAGGAGTTCTTTGAACACCAGGTGTCAAAACTTGAACAGTTCCCATAGGTGTCCTTTCCCGGAAATCATCTGTCACAAATTAATTATAAAAGCAAAGATACTCACACAACCAGCTTTCAAAAGCATTTAACAGAAAATGTACTAAACCTACAACATGAATATGAGAAAATATATCCGGTATCAATAAACTAGTACAAAGAAAGTATGCACTAGTCAAATCAAAACTACACGTACCATTAGCATTTTGAAGGTCAATTTCCCCCTCCTGCAATTCATTGAAAAAAAAAAAAAAAGCATTATTCAAAACCAAGCCTCAAATGTTAAATTTTATAACTAAAGTTTAATCTAGTCATCACTGATGATCCAACTGGAGAGGAATTCTATGCATATCCTAACATCAGTACAATCAAATGCGATGAAACAACTGATTGCAAAACTTATTAGCTAATAATATTAAATAAAAATGAAAATACCAAAAAAACAAAATTGAATAATTGTCAGTTAAGTAAATTTATTACAATACCTCAGGTTCAGGCGACATGGCAACCTCGTCGTGCCCATAGTCCACAATAGTCAACCTCCCTCTACCACGTCTCCTCGAATCAGAAGAAGCCCCGTGTTGCTTCGATGATATGAACGGGACCTGAGGCTGCTGCGGTGTCGAAGTCTCGTCACCAGCGACCGTATCATCACCAACGTTCATTCTCGAATCTTCCTCTAAATTATTTGCCTCTCGATTTTCATCTTCCTGTTGTTGTTCTCCTTCTTCGAGGTCTTCCATCTCCTCGTCGTCTTCATCGTCGTTGTACATAGAAAGAAGGCGAATTCCTTCCAATGGCTTCTCCTTCAACGCCATCAAATCAAGAGTTTAGTTTTCTGTGAATTTGAATTTCAAATTTAGTGCGTAGGATTTTGTTAATTTTGGCCGAAAAGATTTGGAGATTTTCTTACTCAGAATCAGGAAGGGTTTAGAGAATGAAGAAATTGAAATCGAAGGAAAGCTAGGAGCTGTGTTTAATTTGGGTTGGGCTTAGGCCCAATTTGAATCTAATTGAAGTAATAACCTTCCATATTTACTCCTGTCTGACGTTGACAATTAGCTATAATAAGGGCTTATTTTATTTGTGATTCGAAAATAATGTTGAAAAATTAAAATATAATTAAAATATGTGTTAGATATAATATTTTAAAACATATATATATATATATATATTAAAATATATAAAAAAAATTATGAAAACGACTTTTAATCGTTTTTTAATTTTGCACTAGTTTTTAGAATCATATTCAAAAACAATTCGGCTCATTTTTACTTTAAGTAGTTTTATAAGAATTATTGTATCTCTTATTTTCAAAAATGAAAAACTATATTTAAATTTTATACCAAACAAGGTCTAAATAACTTGTCCCCAATATTAGTTGAACATCTTAAGCTAGTTGGGAATGTTAGATTTTGTTGCATGAAACAAAAGAAATTGAAAAAATTATTAGATTAAAGGATCTATATAAATAAAATCGTGATGCATATGCTATATGATGGCCATTTTGAAAATGTAGAATTCCTTCATTTTGACACGTAGACAGATTGTCCGATATATAACTGCATTTGATTGATGATGATGTGGATTCTTTACATGTGGCTTATTAATGACACATATTAACCTTAATCATTGATGTTTCACATTCACATTAAATATTTTCATTTATATAGAAATAAATTTATGTAAATGTAAAGAGATTTATACATTGTATGTGTTTGATAGTAATATGAATATGAATGGTTTGATAAGTTTTATTTTTGATACATTGTATATGCTATGTGTTGTTGTTTATGTGGAATCAATGTAAAGGGTTAGAGATATTAATGAGAAAATATTGATATTAGAAAGTTGGGCATATGAAAAGTGTAATTAAATCTTTATCAATTAAATGCACATTTTTTACATTCACTTTTAAATCTATATATATTTATTTATGTGAGAATTTGTAACATAATGCAGAGATGAAAAAGGGAAACAAATATTTCTTTTGTTAACATTTGTTCAAAATAGTATTGAGTTTTGTAAAGTTACTGGTTCCTGAAGGAGAATCATTTTCATTTGTTTCACAAACATCAATAGATATTTAATTGCAGTTGTACTTCTTTTTTTTTTTTTTTTTTTTTTTTTGATAGTTTTGTAATATTGTTGCTTAATATTTAATTGTATTTCTTTGTTTAATTTAGAATTTTTCATTTTAATTGTCCTTTAATTATTGTCTCCATCTTTTCCATCTTCATTTTCATCTGTTTCGAGAAAATCATGTGATGATGACCTGCGAGAATTGGTATCATTTGTCAATTTTAGGATGAACAAGTGAGGATTTGTGCCATAAAAACGAATTCAATTTTAGTGATGAGAAAGGAAAACAAATATTGATATGTAGTTTTAATTGTAATTGCTCTATTTTTTTATTTTTTTTGCTGATATTTTTTTATGTTACATACATATATAATAAAAAGAACTTGTTCCTAAATATAACTAATTTTATTTGTTTAACAAATATCAACTGATATTTGATGCCGAACTATGTAACTTTAGTAAATCATTTTAATATACCATACCATTATTATTATCTTTAAAGGAAAACAAATATTAGTACGTAGTTTTAATTGTAATTGTTCAATCTCTTTTTGTTGATATTTTTTTATGTTACATACACATATCATAAAAAGAGTTTGTTGCTGAATATAACTAATTTTATTTGTTTAATAAATATCAACTGATGTTTGATGCTGAACTATGTAGTTTTAGTAAATCATTAATTTTATCATTACACACATTTCAGTTTCCACTGAATAATCAGTAGTAAATTGACCATAACTTATTCAATAAAAATCCAATTGATGAGAGATTTGAATCTTTAGAAACTAGATAGACAAGGCTTCAATTTGATATATTATACGCTTAATTTGGATAATTGTAGCCCTACTGCCGAATCATTCCTTTTATTATCACACACATTTCAGTTTCCACTGAACAAACAGTAATAAATTGACCATAATTTGCTCAATAAAAATCTAATTGATGAGAGGTTTGAATCTCTAAAAACTAGACAGACAGAGCTTTAATTTGATATATTATATCCTTAATTTGGATAATTGTAACCCCATTTTTGAACTATTTTTTTTTATCATCACACACATTTCAGTTTCCACTGAACAGTTAGTAGTACATTGACCATAACTTGCTCAATAAAAATCCAATTGATGAGAGGTTTGAATCTTTAGAAACTAGACAGAAAGAGATTTAATTTGATGTATTATATACTTAATTTGGATAACTTTATCCCCATTGTCAAACCATTCCTTTTATCATCATACACATTTCAGTTTTCCTTATTTCTCAATTTCCATTGAACAGTTAGTAATAAATTGGCCATAACTTGCTCAATAAAATCCCAATTGATGAGCATTTTGAATCTTTGGAAACTAGACAGGTAGAGCTTTAATTTGATATATTATATAATGAATTTGGATAACTATAGACCTATTGCCGAACCATTCATTTTATCATCACACACATAAAACAAAATCAATTTTAGTGACGAGAAAACCATATCACACACATTTTGGTTTCCTCTGTTTCTCAGGTTCCATTGAACAGTTGGTAATAAATGGGTCATACCTTGCTCAATAATTATCCACTATGATTTTCATAAGTTTCACCAATATATGATAGTATTTCTATCAAATTAAATGCATTAAAAAGTAGCCGAAAAATGTCGAACCATTATTCAATATTTTTCTAATATTTATGTTAGGTGAATGCGTATGCCGAACCATGCCGTTTCATTAATATAGAATTATAGCAAGTCGTCAGCCGAACCATAACTTATAATGAATCACCATAATAAGCCTGTGCCGAACATAGGTTTCACTACAATTTTAAAAGATAAAATGTCTCTTTGATTTCAATAAAATTTTGAAGAATCATCAATATGAGTAAAATATATTGGATAGGTTCTCTAATTTTCATAAGTTTCACCAATATATGAAAAAATTAGTTAAAGTTAACTGTTTTTGTCCTATAGAATTGTAATAAACCATGTATCGAAATTTAATTTATCCATGGTTATAATAGATACATTAGTTCACAGTTTGACTGTCGATCCATATATTTCTCTATTACTGATTTCTGATATGCCAGATTTCGAACCATAAATTTGAGTAAATAATTGTATCAAGCCATTGTTGAACTATAATTTATGTATTCTTACTTTTGTAGTTATGCCGAACCATACTTCATAATATATTAATGTAATAAGCCTCTGTCGAACATAGGTTTCACTACAACTATAAAAGATAAAATGTCTATTTGATTTCCAAACCTTATTGTAGAATTATCCATTTGTATTATTTGGAACCATTATAATATGTCAAACCATTATTATTATCTTTAAAAAGTCCATTTAAATTTTAGTTATTCAAACAATGTGGTGTCAAAACCAATTTCATAAGCAATCCGTGCAATGCGCGGACCTTTCAACTAGTTAAATTATATTACGAAACAATATTTTGATTACTTTTTTTTCTATTAATTTGGTTAATCATTTTGGGATTATTGTCGCGAGGTTGAAAGTAGATGATGGTAATTAAAAAATAGCAGTTATGTGACAAATACAATTATCATCATGTTATCATGATTTATTTTTTAACAACTAACAGCATAGAGTTTGAGTTAGAATATATTAATATATTATAATAAGAGAAATTGTTGAAAACCTTATGCAATTACTCTTATATAATTAAAATAGCTGTTTATTTATAATTAATACACTGTCACGACATTCTTTTACCCTTAAAGGTGTGTTTGGTTCATGAAATATTGTATTACTGGAAATGTTATATTAATGAAAAGATATATTACCTTAAATATTACTAGAAATGTTGGAAAATGTGTTTGTTAGGTTGGAATAAATTGGTGGGTATATTAATATGTTTGGTTGGCAGAAATAAATTGACGGTTATATTATATAAATTACCAAATTGTCTTCCTTTCTAAATATTAATATAATATTATTTTTTGAATAATTTTTTTTAAACCCCTACGTTTGAGATATTGCTAAAACACCCTAACAACAAAAAAGTTTAAAACTTAACAAAAACACCCCCACCCATCCTAAACCATTGCCGGCCACCTGTCACCAACGCCGACAGTGGTGGAAATGGCCGTAATGATGCACTACTAGTCGGATCTAGCCAACTGTGCATTGATATGGCCATTTTCGGCTAGATCCATGGGAAATTGTCAGATCTACAGCCAGAGATCATGTTGTTATTAACGGTCAAAAGACGTAGATCTGATCAAAAACGGTCAGAATAGATCTGACCATTTCCGGCCAGATATATGTCCATCTGGCTATTTTCGACCATAAATATGGCCAAAAATGGCCATATTGGCACATGGCAGACATTTCCAGTGGCGGCCGACAGTGGTTGGCCAGCTGTCGATAGTGATCCTAAGTGGCCTGCTATTTGTTTTAAATATAAGGGCATTGTTGTCCAAAAACTTAATTAAATAGAGGTAAAATTGTAATGGCAAATTAATGTATATTAATTTCAAAATAAGGGCATTATTGTCCAAAAAAATTATTAATAAGGAGTAAAATTATAACAAAAATAAGATTACAAAGTAATCTTAAAATACAACACTTAAGAAAATAAAGGTAATTAGATTACCTTCTATATTATCAATAGTAAATATTATTAGTTTTGAAAGATTACCGAAATCTTATATTATTTGACAACCAAACGTGATAATCAAGTAATAAAAGATGACATTGCCTCAGTAATTGGGATTAGCTCCAACCAAACACACCTTAAGGGTGTGTTTGGTTTCGGGAATGTTTTATTACTTAAGAAATATGATTACTTTAAAGATGGATTACCTTGAAGATTAAAGAAAATATTATATTATATATGTTTGATTAGATTGATGGGTATAAATAATTAATATGTTTTGTTGGGGGGAATAAAAA